GTTGCTGAGACTTTAAATGAGACAGTGAGGGAATTAGTTCAAAGCTCTAAACTGTTTCTATCAGTGATCAGATCACCTACAAGGCTCTCCTGAACATGATCACTCCCTCAAATTCTTGGAAAGACAAATTTGTATGAAAAGACACAGAAATTGAGAAAGAAGGGAAAAATTTCTTAGTTATAAAACCTTTCATTTCTATAAAACATCTCTTAAAAATAATTCAAAAATTCATACGTGAAATGTGGACATTTGTCCACAGCTCACCTTTAGGAAAAAGGCAAGGAGCAGGCAGGATTTTTCCATTGGTAGAAGGAATTAGCACAAAGCCTGAGGGAATTAATGGCAGCTGTGGTTCAAATAACCGTGTCTCTGGGTTCACTGTTCACTCCCCCAGGACAGAGCTAGGTAGGGAGGGGCTGCATTTGATAGGGGACGGTACAGAAACCCAGGCAAGAGGAGGTATTGAAGACCCCTCAGGTGGGGAACGGGTGAACCAGGTCAAAAGCTGCATTTCTTCATCTAGAATGTTCTCTAGAGGGCAGTGATGATCATGAGAGTCCGCCTAAGGCACACTACAGGTGCTGGCTGACTTCTGTAGACCCAGAATTGTCACTGTAATACAGAGGAGATAAGCTGGCATTCTTTCATTTTGGGTGTTTTTTATTCCCCCTCAACAAACCTTCACTGGACTTTTGCCAAATCATCAGAAATCATGACCCTCAATAGAGCAGCTCAGGAGAGTTCTAAGGACTAACAAAGACTTTTCCTCTTCCATAAACAAGCTGGATTTGTTCTGAATCTTTCCTTTATCTTAGGTGGTATGTAAGTCCATGGGTAAGAAATAGCCTCTATCAGCTCCCCCTCAAAAGAGGAGAGGGAATACGAGAAATAATTTTTAAAATGGAGCAGCAAAACGTAGGTGCTGCTGTGAGAAGCAATCACTAGGTCTGCTGCCGCCTTCCTCTGCCAGAGGCCGGGGACAAGGACGTGAAGAGCAGGGACTCCAACACAGCTGTTACTCGGGAACAAACAGGGATTCACTCTAGAGCAGTGATTTTGTCAAGGATCTTAAGTGTACTGCAAAAACTTTTAAAGATCATTAATTAAATTATTTTTGAAAAAAGTTCAAAGCACAGTAAGTATATTCTTTAATTCTATTTGATCGACATAATTTAAGTGTGCCACAGAAGTTTAACTACAGGTTCAAGTGTGCTGTGCTACAAAAAAATCTTGAAAAACACTGCTCTAGAGAAAGCCAATAGACAAGAAGAGCTGCTTGCCATCACTGGGCAAAATACAATTAGCCAGATCACTTTGGGTTAATGTCCAACAGGTAAGGAAATAAAGCAGCAATCACGGCTTCAGCGTCTCCTACTCCCCTTCTCACCCCCCCGCCCCCGTGTGGGGCACAGACCTCACTACCTAAGCCACAGATCCTTTGGCAGCTCAGAAGTGAACCTGGGCTTCATTAGTGCTTAAATGTCCCCTGCCAATAGGAGTGAGGATTAAAAGTTTAAAAGTGTTAACACTGGAAGGAAAATTTATTATAAATGACAAAAATTCAAGATTAACTCACTAGTTTGCTCTTAACCTATGCAACACATCAGTTTGAATAGAGGATGATTTGATGCAACTGCCAGAGCCCATGTAGGAAAAAATTCCCCTCACTTTTTGCCCCCTCACCTCCAGCTGCATTAATCAAGGTCACCCAAACCCTTAAAACACCACTCCCTAAATGGGACACTAAGACTCAGAACATAAAGATATGTGGTACAATAAAGCTGAAAAGACACACAAACACTCTCAGATCTTTTCTTGACCAACTTTCAAGTAGTATTGCTTAAGGGAGAAGATTTTATTTTAAAAAATAAATTTCAAAAAGAAAGCACATTTAAAACATCAGGTTTTAGTGATCAGGGTCGGTAAAGTATTTTTATTATAAATTTCAGGATCTAAAAAAGTCATGTGTTACATTTCCTAAGATAAATCTGAGATGACTCTTTCATCAAGCATTTGTACCCTGCACACTGACACTGTGACCCTTGGGCATGGAAGGGATGAGATCGAAGTCCCATCCCTCCTTTAGAAGTGCAACCAGCCATATGAAAGAAAATAATGCTGATCCTCAGCTAGCAGACACTGATTAGGTTCATTCAGATTTATCACTCAGGCATCTGAAGTTTAGGTAAAGACACCTTGATTCTTGAACTCTGAAAGCCAAACTAGAATCTCAAGGGGAACCTCAGTCTTGAAATTCAAGGCTTTTTTTTTTTTTTTTGAGACAGAGTCTTACTCTGTCACCCTGGGTAGAGTGCCATGGCATCATAGCTCACAATAACCTCAAACTCTTAGGCATAAGCGATTCCCTTGCTTCGGCGTCCTGAATAGCTGGGACTACGGGCACCCACCACAATGCCTGCCTAGTTTTTTGTTGTTTTTTTTTCCAGTAGAGATGGGGTCCTGCTCTTGCTCAGGCTGGTCTCCAACTCCTGAACTCAAGGAATCCACCCTCCCCCGCCTCCCACAGTGCTAGGATTACAGGCATAAGCCACTATGACCTAGCCTGAAATTCAAGCTTCTTTTTCCCCCATTTTTTATTTCAATGATATATAGGGTACATTCTACATTTAACAGGAGTTATGATCCAATTGGTTCTGTGAGTCCAAGTATGAAAAACCTTACCTCCTGGCAAGAGACCCACAGAACTGGTCAGCAGTAAGACTGAGGTCAGACACTGGAAAAACTACACTAGTCCAGAGTTATAGTGACCATCCAACAACAGAGATGCTGCCGAAAAGTAGCCACAGCTAAGTGGGTGACTGCTGAAAGAAAGGGCTGGAAGAGACCTCAGTAGGCCATCTAGGCCATCCTCCTGGCTGAATGGGACAAATGCCTCTCTCTGGCCAGTTACTTGCAATTGCACTCACAGGGAGGGGACCCTAGGTGTCTTTTATATTTATTTTTTAGAGATTCCTAAAGGCAGCATCTTTATGAGAAGGAGCTGGGAGCTTCAGGGACTTGACAGGTTGGAGCCCAAGTACAGAGCGAGCCCTCTCCTGGGGGATGTCAGCAGGAACCTGGGGGGAGGAGGACAGAGCAGTCCCTGAGAGGCAGCTGTGGCGTGCAGGGCAAGCACCCTCACACTCCAGGATGGGGGTGGCTGCAGCACACAGCCTGTTCAGCAGGAAGATGACATTTCAAGGGGTGAAGAGCCAACAAGGCCCACAGCTAGGCCCATTTGCCTAGGAGTTTCTATCCCAAATTTTCCTAAATTAACCCGCCACCCCCTCAGAAGCAGTGGCCTTCAACAGGGCATGTTTTATTGCAGGGGACATTTGGCAATGTCTGGAGACATTCTTGGTTGTCATCACTGGGAGGGGGGTGGGTAGAGGCCAGGGATGTTGCTGAACATCCTACGATACACAGGACAGCCTCCTACAGCAAAGAAGGATGCAAACGTCACTAACGTGAGGCTGAGAAACCCTGCTCTGGGGCAGGACTTTACTCATAAGATTGTGAATCTAGTGTGAGCCGCAGCCCCTGGAATCTACACTCAGATAACTGTGAACACCCTCTACCTCAAGCCCTACTGTGTGGACCAAGCCACTGCCTTGTTGAGCGGAAGCCCCCAGTTATCCCAGAATGTTCCACAAACGTCCAAACAGCTGCTAGGGGTTCAGATGCCAGCCAGTACAAACAAAACCTTAGATCCTTTCATCTTCTTCCTCTCTGAAAAATCTATTTCTTTCTCAGAGCCAGGGCCACCCCGACTGCCACCGCCAGGAGGGCGACGGCGGCAGCCCCTCCAAACAGGAGTATAGACTTGCCCTCAGACAAGGGCAAGGGCTTCGCTCTCCCAGCGGGGGAGGACTCCTCCGTAAGACGCTCTCCCTCTACATCTGTCTCCTGGCTCAGCAGCGTTTCCGGGTAAAGACGCTCTCTCTCTACATCTGTCTCCTCGCTCAGCAGTGTTTCTGGGGGTTCCAGTGTGGGGATCTCCTCCTCCTCCACTTCACCAGCTTCAAGGGTCGCTGCTTTTACCTCTTCTTCATCAAGTTCCACAAACAAAGACGTAGCAGGGCTGGCTTTCTCGGCTGCAATCACCTCTGCGTGGGGCTCCCCTGCCTCCAGCAAAGACGTGGCAGTGATATGTGGAAGCAGGGGTGCTGGGGCTTCAGGGAACGCCTCCTGCAGCTCCCCGGCAGCCGCAGCAGCCTCTTCCACGCCCTCAGGAACTTCTTCTTTCTCCACATGCACTATGTCAGAATTGGAAGAGTTGTTCTCACTCTTCTCTCCAGCTCCGTTGCTATCCAAGCTTTTGACTTCCTCAGGATCCATCGCGATCTGTTGCCAGGATTCGGGACCTAGAGACACTGGCAAGCTTTCTGTGTGCCAACTCTGGCTGGCCGACAGTGAGACAGGTAAGCTCTCTGACTGCCAGGAGGTCGTCACAGTTGGAGACTCTGGAGGACTGACTTGTCCAGAGTTGTCACTGGGCAGGATGTAAATGTCATTGCTGTCCTCTGCAGTGACTCCAGGGCACTCCTCCTCCTCTGAGTCAAGGTTAAAGACGGCGCCCTAGAAAAGGAGGAAGAGAGTCTATTAATATAAAGAAAGGCAAATATTTAAAAAATAAATGTCCATCTGGAAAAATTTTTTCCTAAATGGAAGTCCCAGGAATAAATACATTGTTTCAACCTACATAGTTTCTGAATTGAAGGCATTTATTTGTAGGCCTTCCTCTTGAAAGAGAGGAAGAATTTTTGACAATCCTCTGACCAGTCTTCCTGAAACTATAAAAATTCAAGTTTATTTATATTCAGTGTAATTTATATACAGGTTGTACACATCATTAACCTGAAAACCTAAAATCTGAAATGCTCCAAAATCCAAAACTTCTTGAGTGCTAACAGGACACTACAAGTGGAAAATTCTGTACTTGACCTCACGGGATAGGCTGCAATCAAAATGTAGCCAAAATGGTTTCAAGCAGACAGTTATTAAAAATGTTATATACAAGGAATATATGAAACAAGAATAAACCTTGTGTTTAGACTGCGGTCCCCTTCCCAAGACTTCCTGTTATGTATGTGTAAACATTCCAAAATCCAAAAATATCCAAAACACTTCTGTCCTAAGCATTTTGTATAAGGGACACTCAACCTGGGTAATCAATGCAATAATTAATGTGAAATAGCAGAGAAAACAAAGGCATGACCTTGAGCTGAAGGATTCATCACTTAGTAGTTAGTAGGGTATAAAAAAATAATGCTATGCCACAGATAAAGTGCTATGTATATTAAGAGTTCAAATGGGGGTTCAGCACCTATGGCTCAAGTGGCTAAGGTACCAGCCACATACACCTAAGGTGGCAGGTTTGAATCCAGCCCGGGCCCGCGAAAAACAACAATGAGGGCTGCAACCAAAAAATAGCCAGGTGTTGTGGCAGGCAACTGTGGTCCCAGCTACTTGGGAGGCTGAGGCAGGAGACTCACTTAAACCCAGGAGTTGGAGGTTGCTGTGAGCTGTGATGCCACAGCACTCTACCCAGGGGGATAGCTTGAGGCTCTATCTCAAAAAAAAAAAAAAGAGTTCAAATGGGAAAATGACTTCTTTACGTGAGGGTCAGAGAAGGCAAGGAGATCACAGAAAACTTCATGTAGGTCCATGCTATGTGTAGAAATTTAAAAAATACAAAAAACAAACAACAAAAAAGGAAGTATCATGGAGGAATTATCATTTACATTGGACATTTGAAGAATGGGTAAGATTTTGGCAGGTGAAAGGCATGTAGAAGACACAATGCCAGCAAAAGCAGAGGTAGAAAAAGGGGACCAGCACATAGCCCAGTTTAACTAGAGCATAGTGTGTACATGGAGAGGAATAGAGACATTCAGTTAGTTAGGACATACTGACTTCAACAGACCAAGGTTAGTCACTAAAGTCTTTGAGGTACAAAATTGCAACTGGAGCTCTGCTAAAATTCCCCTGATAGTAGTTCCGGAATGGGGAGACGCTAGAAATGCAGGGACTCCTGCTGCTTTTTTAGCAAGAGTCTCAGCAAAAGTAATAGAGACCAATGGTGCAGTCCTCACTTCTCCGTGCCTACCACCTATCAGGGGCTGTGTCAGCACCAGGGTTATGAGGAAGAACGAGACCCGCACCTGTTCCTACAGAACGTACTGTCTAGCTGTGAAGACTGACATATGAATTGCTAATTTCAGTATGATACAATAAGCTTTAAGGCAGGTATATGCACAGGAGGCCACACTTAAGGCCAGAGCTCAAGACCTGATAAGGGCAGGAAGAGAACCGATGAAATGGAATGTCACAGGATCTACACAGACTTTTACAAAAAGGCTAGACAATACTCATAAACGTTACAGAGAGTTTGAATATGACAGAATGTAAACTAATTCCTACTTCATTTGATGATTATGGCTGCCATTCCTCTGATGTAGAATAATTTTATTTTTCAACCAAGACCAAAAACTCTCTGTACATATGAAGGATCAAGTATAAATAAGGAGTCTATAAAAGGAAACCAGAAATACAAATCACAGTCATAATACCGTGCTGTGCCACATTCTATCTCAGCCCTTGTCTAACCTCCTTAGGAAGAAGTCCTGAAAAGCATCAAGGATACAGAATAAATATGGAATAAGCAGAAAGACAAAACAATATGGTAATTAAAAAGACAAAATTTGTAGTCAAAAAGCACTGCTTTGGATCCCAGTTCCAATTGGATAGTAGCTGTATCAATTTGGACATCTTGCTTAACCTTTTAAGCTTTAATTTCTTCATACATAAAATGGGGGTGGCTGACTGGATAAGACTGTTTTAAAAACTAGGTCTAGTATTTGTAGTGCTTAGCATAGTACCTAGGACACAGGAAATAAGCCATAAATTATGCTATTTCTTCACTGTTGTTATTACTGTATTTTTGGTGGTAGGTGGGGTCAAAGGTCTACTCTAAAATGCCAAGTACACAGGACAACGAAGAAGTAAAAGCAATCTGAAATAATACCCTGCCCTGGCTAGAGAAGGGAACTTACAAACTTTCCCTTCCTCTTCTTTCTCTTCCATCTCTTCCAAGGATAGACACCACAAAACTGGTGAAATCTCTCTTTAGAAAGCTACACTACTGCAGCATACGATCAGGAAAATTGGAGGGGCTATTAGCGGGGAAGGGAGAAAGGCCTACCATGACTCAAAGCTTTTGAGGGTCAGCCTGGCGCCCATAGCACAGTGGTTATGGCATCAGCCAGATACACCAAGCCTGGTGGGTTCAAACTCAGCCCAGGTCAGCTAAACAACAATGGCAACTGCAACAGAAAAAATAGCCAGGTGTTGTGGCAGGCTCAAAATAAAACAAAAAAAGCTTTTGAGGATGACAGCTTACCTCAGCCTTGTGGAGGTCCCTTTGAATATAGACCACTGAGAAGGTCCAGAAGAGGAAATATTGGGGGCGGGAGAGGGAGGGGGAAGGAGGACATTCAAACTTTAGGGGGTCATTGGTTCAGTCAGCTAAGAAAAGAGATGAAGATCTTAACCAGATGCCATAATCATGTTTTGAGCATATGAACCGATAATTAAGTTTGTGAATTTGCCACCATGTACTTATGTTGGCAGCACTGTACAAACAACTTGGTAAGGTTTCATAACCTGGGTATATAAGTGTCTTACAACTGCTTTTGTGTTGATGTGTGATGGTGTCCTGATGAATGACACTGACAAGAATGTTGGAGCTTGAATTAGAGCAAGGAACAAACATTTGTAAATTTCTTGTTCAATTTGGCAAGAATGGAAGTAAACCCAGGGACATGTTAGTCCAAGTTTATGAAAATAATGCCATGAAAAAAGTGGCAGTGTACAAATAGATTAAACGTTTTTCTGTTTTTCTAAGGGGAGAGAAAGTGTCATTGATAAAGAGAGGTCAGAGCACCCAGTAACGAGCAGAACTGACAAGAACATTGCAAAAATTCATTGAACTGTGCATCACAATCATTGGTTGACTGTTAAGAAGCATAGCAGACCAAGTAAGCATCAATAGAGAAATGGGAAAATCTTTTTTTTTTTCTTGAGACGGAGCCTCAAGCTATCCCCCTGGGTAGAGTGCCATGGCTTCATAGCTCAGAGCAACCTCCAACTCCTGGGCTCAAG